TTATACTCATAACCAATTTCACACAAAATAAATCAACTCCAACCAAAAACTCAAGACCACTCGCATGGGCATATGGGTTATGGCCTAATTTATATGTTAAGTCTATTTTAAACATGCAAACCTTCGACAACAACCCACCAGCCATAACCGATAGATTGAAGGAACAAGACTCCAACGATACATCGATCCAGTCAAAATACTAGCGACCAAACGACCAATCCAACTTCAGCAGTACGCTTTAGCTAGAAATTCTGAACGGCAGAAGTACCGGTCAAACATCACGAAATATTAAGGTATATTTTAACAGTCGTCGCCACTGTATCATCGTTGACGCCACCGGCGACGTGTCCCGGGTAGCCTACACTGCACGACAAACGACTAATTCGAAGACGTGTACTGCTCAAAGTTAATCGTCATACCTATAGGCGCCCGGCAAGCGCTTTCAACGTTCAGTCATGATAAACTTCCTAGGACGTAGGTATTATACGAAACGTCAGTGGCATCACCCCTGTCAGCAACGTTGATCACGGAAGCCTTCAGAGCCGGGTGACCTACGGCAACCATGAAATAGAATTTTATTTTATAGCGGCTAATCTACGTACTCCCACCAACCACACTTGTCTAGGCCCCACTCTCCCAGATGAGACTTATGATCGGATGCCACTTTTGTTAGCGGTTTCAGTACAGTGTCATACCCCCAACCGATAATTGTATGTTCGTTAAAAACATTGCCTACTTGTAAGACAATCACGTAAGAGTAGCGGTCAAATTCCCTGAAAGATATGGAAAAGGACCGATTTTTACCAGAGACTTGGAAAATATCGAAAAATTGGAAGATATTAAAATAATACATTTCCGAAAAAGTTTTTGGAAAATTAAAAAAAAAAAACCAAATTTTTGGGAAATTAAAAAATTGTACTTATTTATGCTTAAAAATTTAAAAGTAAAAATAAACTACTCTATAAAATAGATAAGGTATTTCATTATATTGTCATTTCACATAATATGCCAATACGGTTACCAATATATCATTGAATTAAAATTAAAATATTAAAACGCGGGAAAGTGGATGTCGCTCTCCTGTACAGTAGGTTACAAGTATGTCATTGTCTAACGGATTGTATTAAGCTTGAATTCTATGATATTCTATCATTGTAAAAGAAAAAAGGTTCTGAGCAGAGAGGGTTTGTTAGTCTGGATATTTTATATTGTCATTAATTATTTTACCATGTAAGTTGAATTAATATTATAATATTATTTTTTATTCGTTTCTATGGTAATAAACAAAGCGTTAGAAATTAAAATAACAATTTTAGCGGTTTTTCGTAATTTTTCGTTGGTTTATACCGTGGAATTCAATTACTATTGATAAAATCGAGTAATGACCTCTTTAAAGTACCATCTTGATCCAATTTGCTAAAAGATAAGGTACTATATGTTGAAATCGAAGAACTGACTCTGTTAGATATTTTGTATACAGGATATAAAAAAAAAAAAAACACCATTGTAAGACCACTAGCTTCCTCGCTCCGCTCAGAATCTAAAATATTAATACTGATATTACCATATTTGTTCTAAAAATAACGTTCGACAAATGAGTTACAACAACATTAATTATTAGGAAAATAAGTAACAACAAAACATCATTGGCGGGATACGATAATATTTTATAAAAAAAAAAATCTTTTTATAAAAACAATTTTTTCTTGAAATTTTAAATGAAACCAAATTTTCCCAATTTTGATCCCTACGTAGGAGGCGATCATCAACCCACTAATTTTTTATATATTTAATTCAATGATGGAAATAAAGAAATAGCTGATTCTTGACAACTTCGAAGGTTTTTTTTATTATTCTGAGAGGGTATCTCACACGGCGTGAGAAACGTATTAACGTATCACCATATAAGAAAATCAAAATTATTAAATTAAAATAAACATTGGGTTTCTTATGTTTAATCCTAATCTATGTTAACCGATATTTATATGTTTTATTGAATTTGTTGGTATTAGAACATTTAAAGCATTATTTAAAGACAATATAGGTACTTTTACCCAAAATGTTGGTTGATCATATTACTATTCATTCATCATGAACTATAAATGATAACCTATATTTTTATTTCATAATCAAACATTAAAGCAAAATATATTCATTACGACGTTGAAATAATACCTATATAATTATTTTTTATTTATAACTGTTTGAAAATATAATTTGCAAATTATTATTAAAATTGCATTTTGATTCACCGAGAATCGTTTGGTCGTTTAGAAGCCATACGATAAAATGGTTATTATTAAAAAAACAATACAATATTAAATTACGTTGGAATTGCATAACTCTGAATAATTTCGATTGAAAATTTTAGTTTGAATGTATTTTTCTTACCTTAATTAATTTAGAGGTATTCTGAAGTGAATATACAACATTTTTTATAAAAGATAAAAATGCAAATTTATTAGGGAGATAAATATTATATATTGATATATGTGTTAATTAGAATATAATATTATATTTAATGATTTGTATTTTATATTTACTATATTATGTTCAATAGAATAATACCAAAATAATATTAAAATGGGTAAATGGTAAGAAAAGTACATAGTTTTAAATATATTTATGAAGGTTAAATAATCTATAACGATAAAATATCAAAAGATTTATGTGATAAATTATAAAATTTAATATTTTGGATTATGAAAATATACATAACTAGGTATACCTGTGGAGAAATCGTTATTTTCGTGAAACAAATGAATACTGAAATTATTTATATTATGATATTTAACTGGTTTACGATATAGATTAATATACCTATTTTTTTTACACATCAAGAAATATGATATTGATTTGGTACAACTTATGATCTAATGTTAATGCTTACAATATTGTATGGTTGTTATTTTAATTTAAAAATGATAATATTAAGTAAATTAAAATAATATATTATAAGTACAAACCTAATATTTCTGATATTAATGATATTACCTGATAACTTGATTTCGTCGTTTGGATAGATGATGGAACTAGCTAATGACAATAATATTATGATAGTTTCCACTAGAACTCTTTAAATACTCTTTTTTTTACATTATCTACAGTTTTAATTTTATTATAAGCATTAAATATTTTTTATGCACACAAAATTTGATTAAACTTCTGTATATTAAAGTTATTTTTGTAACCTAACACGTAGGTAGTTGATTATGACATTGAAATATTTAACTTTGTAATATTTAAGTACCTAAAATGTATTTACACAGGGTAATTACGTTTTAACTTTTACGATTATTGAGTAAGACAATTTAGTGTATGCTGAGACATGTGGCACCTGCATTTAGTCAAAAGTCATTATAGCCAATTTATAAAATTTCATAATTATTTTATAATGATATATTTATAGATGGATTTTTTTAGTAGCATTAATAGCAATGATATATGAAAAGTATAATTTATAAATAATCATATTTAATATTATTTATTTAACATCTTTTGAATCGTACCTAAATTGTATGTGTCAAATTTAAATTCTTGGTGATAAACAAAAGTATAGTAATGGATTGGTACCGTATGATATATATATATATAATATATATGGTATATAGTTGCAGATGAAAGTTGTTATTTTAATAATATTTATGCTGCTAATCAATGCTAGTCATAACTCGTAATATAGCTGTCTCAGAGATAGAAAGCTTTTCAAATTTAAACGGTTTTGGTTTGGAGAACAGTGCTTTAAATTTTCTGTTTTCGATTAAGGATTTTAGATCGACTTGTTACATGTATAGCTTTCATTTTATATAATATTTAGTAAAATATCATCCATATTAATTGTATTAATAAATTAAATAAATTCATAGAATTCTGTTTGTATGAAAATAATAATTGTTTTACCTAGAATTATAATAATTGTTGTGTGTATATAATTATAGTAAAAACAATGTTAGTTTTAATCTGTTTTACGAATGGTTTTAAATTCTGCGTTTTCCATTTGGGTTTTGTTAAACATAATAAGTATCGTCAATAATTTAAAAAAAAAAATAGAAAAAATCTAAGAGATTTTGTTATTTTGAGATAAATAACTTAAAAAAGTTAAAATATTTTGAAAATCTAATTGTATTTAGAAAATACCAATATTTTTTTAACAGTTTTTTAGTTTTAATTATCAGAAATGTTTGTTTCTGCTAAACTACTCCTCTCTGGAAATAATTTTTTTCTTGCTCCCGAAATCATATTTCTTGTTACTAATTCTACATGGAGTAGTGTTTGTCGTTTGGTCGATGATTTGTAATTTTACAGTGTACTTACCTAGTACCTATCCCTAAAATAATTTTAGAATGGTTTACTTAACTTAAGGAAGTTTTATCTTTTTATATATATTATAGTTAACACCTTGCACTTCGTTGCTCGTTAAATGAACCAAACTTTGTTCAATTTGTTAGGCATTTAATATTTAATGGATGGCGTTCAAAACGTATCTTAACTTTTTCGTTGTCCAGAGTAAAAATTATGATTCGCAACAGTATAATAATATCAGGTAGGCAATCGGTAGATCGCGGACCCCGTGCTGTTTGTACGTATGTGTATGATTTCAATCTAGAGTATCAAAGTTATACCAAGTTTGTTGTTTTGTTTTTCAGACAAACATCGTGACACGGGATTTTCATATAGGTATAAAATAGCTGCCCCGGCAATGCTATTGCCATATATTTGAAACAATTATAAAATTTTACCAACAAATTTCTTATATAATTTCTTATTTATGTATTAATATTTACAATATTAAATGTCACTACTGTGTAGATTTAAATATTTGTAGATGTAGAATATAATATGTAGATTTAACAACAATTTCAAAAATTATAATTTTAACACATACACAATCGGCAGGGTTACATGGGTTACTAAATAAGAGGACATTATAAAGAAAGTTTTGATATTATTATTTTAATGATTTTTTTGAGGTCATAACTACAAAACAAAAACCACTAAATTTATTGAGATAGAACTTCCATATAAACGATATTTGATGTTGTCTTATTTTGTGGTAGCAAAATATTAAATAAATTGATTTTCAGGAGCTCCGACCAGCTGTAGGCACACATACAGTTGGCCATCAGTAAAACATTATTTTCGTAGGTCGTCCCTACTAATTCGAAAGGTTGACCTTGGACCTTGCCTATAGTTAACGAGAATTTAAATTGGATTGGCAGATCAGCTGGGCCGGTGATAATGATCGCTACAGTTAAATTGTCCTTTAATTCCGTAATAATCAGCCTCGTCCCATCGCACATGGTCGGAGTGCTTAAATTTCTCAAAAGCAAGATTGGAACTGTGGAAAATTTACCGTGTCTTCGATATTAGTCACAAAGTCGATCGATTTGTAATTTTTTATTTTACCCGGGACTTTTTGAATAATCAAATTATTTATTTCGTTTACAGTATCATTCCGAGGTGACAATATTGCCCTAGAACATAACCAATGAAAGTCCTTTTCCTTTTCTTCTACTGATTACGGACATTAAAGGATACTGTAGTGGATCGTACGATTTCTATAACTCAGAGATCCATTTAAGTTAGCCGTCTCTCCCGTGCAGCACTATCTCTTGGGCCTTTTTTCCGTCAACCAAGAGAACAGATACCTCGTTTACAGCTGGAGCATTATATCTACCAGGATGTGTTGTCTAGGGTGGGCGGTCGGAATGAATAATTACCTTGAAATTATCCGAAGAGTTATGTTCTAAGTTTTGTTCAAAACTTCGTATGTATACATTTTGGCTATTCAGTGCGGTCTGTAGTTCGTTAATTGAATCAATATTTTGTTTGACCGCAAAGATAGATGATCTGCGTCTGAAATGAAATATATCTGCACGTATTGTGGATTTTGTGTTGATGGTGATAAAAGATGATATACTTATAGTTCTTCTATCTTAAAAGTTTGTTGGTTAAAATATGTCCAGATAGTGAATGATTATTTGTCAAAAGATTTTTTTATTGGCTGTGGTGGCTCCTGGATTTTGGGGAGACAAACTTTTCCAGAAACATAGCACATACCTTAATAGGTTAATCTTTGGGGAGACAAACGTTTTTTTGTTTTATGAAAACAATTGAACTGTTTGTAGAGTAGTGTAAAACTGTTAAAAACTTATCTTAACTTTTCTGTTACCCAGAAAAAAAATTCTGATTGTTCAACTCCTGTGTAATATGATGTGGAAGCAGTATCTATTTATTTAATTGTAAATGATATTATATTTTAATGTATAGCAATCTCAACCTGCGTTATCCCGTGAGATTCGCAGCAGTATATTATCTATATATATATTATATATAGACCCCCTGCTGTTTGTATTGGTGGACGACATAAGCTCCAAAATGAGATAAGAAAAAAAGTTGTATAGTACGAAAGTGCAAAAATCCTAGATACCTGTGTGCCACGCTTAATAGATATTAGGTACATTTAGAATTATATATTATATTTTAACAATTTATTACTGATAATTTTTTATAAGATCGAAAAAATCAACCGATTTATTAAAATTATAATTTATTAATTTCTATTATATTTATTGACAATTTTTTATAAGATTGACATTTCAAAATAACTATTTATATAAAATATTAATTTTGACGAAAATTATATGCCATTTTTTGCACCATTGGTGCTCATGTCATATTATAGCAGTTTGTAAGCAAGATGTATAATTTAACTCTTAAGTATCAAAGTTATACCAATAGTCTTTGTATTTACTTAATTCAGCATACAGCGAACATGTTATGAATTTCATCTTCAACTATTTTGTTCATAGATAAGTGCATACTCATGGCACCATTTGTGGAGGTTTGAATTCCTCTTTTTATTCTAATAAAATTCTTCAAAATTATCAACTGAAACTATAACAATCATAACCAATAGCAATAACCAAACATAAACAAAAAATATTAATATTTAGTTTATTATTTTCCTGTACAGATGGTGCAGATGTTGTATTTTTTACATCCAGATATCCTACTTTTCCTGTAGATTTTCCTAAAATTTTCTTTCATAAGAATCTTGTCCTGACAATTACGAACATAACAAAAAAAGAATCAGCCAAATCAGACAAGTCGTTTCAGAGCCAACCCTTGACACAAAAGCTGGACTTTCTTTTATAGTATAGATTTACGTTCTTTTTAATCATCCTATTGTTTGTTGTAGGCTAAATTGTATACAAATCATTTAATTTATTTTTAATATTTGGTTCAGTGACTGGAACTGTTTGAATTTATCGATATCGGTTCAGGTACCAGTTCTCCAAAAATAAAATAACGATTCCGGTTCGGTTCTGGTTCTTGCGTGAAAAAAATAAAGGGACCCGTTCCAAATAATTTATGTTCCGATTCCGGTTCCAGATAATTTCGGTACCGAAAAGTATAATAATTTTAATTAATAGTGTGAGAAATATTAGAAAACTCATAATATTATGATCTTACATAGATTATACACAAGACATTAATACATTTACATTATGATAAATAAAATTATTTTCTTTTTGAATCTTAAAGTACCTTTTTAATTTAAAAATTCTGGTTTGGTACCGGTACTTTAAATATTCAAATAAAGGTTTCGGATCCGGTTCCGGGTTTTAATATTTAGGTTTCGGTACCAGAACCGGTTATTTTAGTTTCGGTTAAAGTCCCTAATTTGGTTACCTTCACCTCAACTGTATTTATATATTTGTAGTTTTGATGACTGTACTTCAAAATTACCCATGTGTTATATATATATATAGTTGTTGTCCATAGGAATTTATTTATAACCGAAGTAACTGGTCCAGTAACTCGGGCAGATAAAGGCAAGCATTACCTATTTTATTACCATAATTAGTTCATAATTAATATTAAGCAAACGTCTCAATATAGAGCATTATTTTCATTTTAATTATTATAATATTATTTTAAATAGCTCAGTCCTTTATGCAAGCTATACTGACCGTTTTTCACTTATTAAAATTTCAATCTCTGACAATTTCCTGCTAAAACAGAACTGAAATTCCGATTAAACCTCTATACAGATCCCTGTATATGCGTATAAAAATGTAACGGTTATGATATATTACCTATCACAGGTGAATATCATATTGTAATTTGTGGAATAAAAATATGAAAAGGATTATATATAGGAAATTGGAAATAATAACAATTCAACTTAATGCATTTAATATGATTAATATATTATAAAATTGTAATAATAAATTCAATCTTTTTTATTGTTCAACATAATTCCGAGAGCATCCACTGCCATACTAATAATTGTTCCAACAAGTTCCAAAGGAACGCTTTTTAACATGGGTAAAGCAGTTTCATTTGAATTTATGATATTTCCATCTGAATCTGTTGTATTAATATCATATGAAGCTTCAATTTCAGAATTTTTATTTGAATTATAATTTGTCTTGTCGCTAATCATTTTAGATGCCTCCTTATAATCTTCATAACTTGGAGTGGCTGATATCAGATTCTTGTAGTTCAATGTTGCTGCCTGATTAATAATAATCATCGTTGATAAAACAACCAATAATTGCACCGGAAACATTTTGTCTATAAAACAATGTAAATACATATTATCATAATTATCAATAGAATAAAATACATACGCGGGGTTTTAAGGAAAATGTAAAAATTTAATGATTCAACAAAATATAATGGACCAATTATGGGACTAAATGATGTTTAATGGACCATTAGCTCACTATTTCTTCGTTAAATATTTAGTGATTATTCATGCAATCCAGCAAAAGTGTTACTGTTATACTCATAACCAATTTCACACAAAATAAATCAACTCCAACCAAAAACTCAAGACCACTCGCATGGGCATATGGGTTATGGCCTAATTTATATGTTAAGTCTATTTTAAACATGCAAACCTTCGACAACAACCCACCAGCCATAACCGATAGATTGAAGGAACAAGACTCCAACGATACATCGATCCAGTCAAAATACTAGCGACCAAACGACCAATCCAACTTCAGCAGTACGCTTTAGCTAGAAATTCTGAACGGCAGAAGTACCGGTCAAACATCACGAAATAAAAAGGTATATTTTAACAGTCGTCGCCACTGTATCATCGTTGACGCCACCGGTGACGTGTCCCGGGTAGCCTAAACTGCACGACAAACGACTAATTCGAAGACGTGTACTGCTCAAAGTTAATCGTCATACCTATAGGCGCCCGGCAAGCGCTTTCAACGTTCAGTCATGATAAACTTCCTAGGACGTATGTATTATACGAAACGTCAGTGGCATCACCCCTGTCAGCAACGTTGATCACGGAAGCCTTAAGAGCCGGGTGACCTACGGCAACCATGAAATAGAATTTTATTTTATAGCGGCTAATCTACGTACTCCCACCAACCACACTTGTCTAGGCCCCACTCTCCCAGATGAGACTTATGATCGGATGCCACTTTTGTTAGCGGTTTCAGTACAGTGTCATACCCCCAACCGATAATTGTATGTTCGTTAAAAACATTGCCTACTTGTAAGACAATCACGTAAGAGTAGCGGTCAAATTCCCTGAAAAATATGGAAAAGGACCGATTTTTACCAGAGACTTGGAAAATATCGAAAAATTGGAAGATATTAAAATAATACATTTCCGAAAAAGTTTTTGGAAAATTAAAAAAAAAAAACCAAATTTTTGGGAAATTAAAAAATTGTACTTATTTATGCTTAAAAATTTAAAAGTAAAAATAAACTACTCTATAAAATAGATAAGGTATTTCATTATATTGTCATTTCACATAATATGCCAATACAGTTACCAATATATCATTGAATTAAAATTAAAATATTAAAACGCGGGAAAGTGGATGTCGCTCTCCTGTACAGTAGGTTACAAGTATGTCATTGTCTAACGGATTGTATTAAGCTTGAATTCTATGATATTCTATCATTGTAAAAGAAAAAAGGTTCTGAGCAGAGAGGGTTTGTTAGTCTGGATATTTTATATTGTCATTAATTATTTTACCATGTAAGTTGAATTAATATTATAATATTATTTTTTATTCGTTTCTATGGTAATAAACAAAGCGTTAGAAATTAAAATAACAATTTTAGCGGTTTTTCGTAATTTTTCGTTGGTTTATACCGTGGAATTCAATTACTATTGATAAAATCGAGTAATGACCTCTTTAAAGTACCATCTTGATCCAATTTGCTAAAAGATAAGGTACTATATGTTGAAATCGAAGAACTGACTCTGTTAGATATTTTGTATACAGGATATATAAAAAAAAAAACACCATTGTAA